TCTCTCTCTCTCTCTCTCTCTCTCTCTCTCTCTCTCTCTCTCTCTCTCTCTCTCTCTCTCTCTCTCTCTCTCTCTCTCTCTCTCTCTTTTCCTGATTGGAGCGAGCCGATAGAAATTGAAGTCTAGCGGCACGATTCCTCGCAGTTAGCCTTGGATAGGGCACTCACTCATCAAGCATCCCGGATGAGAGCAATGAGAGCATGTGCAGGAGGCAGATCAACGGCGCTGGCTGATGCTGCAGTTGCCGTGAAGGGAGACGTTTGCAAATGCAGTTGCGTGCTCTGTGGACACAAACCGCAGAATAAAGCATCCGTCAGTTCGCTATGTTCTTTTGCTTCTTTGAATCCCGGTAGATAAGGTCCCTTGGGGCACTCCATTTTTCATCGAGTTTGGCGCACTGTGACCTGTACAGCTGGGCACCCAGGCATGCATAAGTATTTCCAAACACGGAACAACAGCCATTGGTAATCTTCTGGAAATAGTGATTCACCTTCCTGTTTAGAATCATGAAATAACAGCGAGACACAAGGCCATAGTGGAAACTAGCTGCAAAGATGTACCGTAACTACCGTTCGGATTTAAGAGTTCGTCTATTGTGACATACCCCAGATCGCAATGACCTGTAACATTATGTCCTGTTATAATACCCCCTTCTGTACCCATCCCCGGCCCCAGAAGAGTGCAGCGCACCCTCCTGTGTTGGAGAAACCCCTTGCTCTTTCAACGTTAACCCACCTGTGGGCATTTCAATGTCCATAAGTTGGTGACTTGCCAACTTCGCCCACCCTCAATCTTCACATCAGTTTGCTATGAAGTAGCATGAACCAATTTCCCTGCACTAGTACTAGAGAAGAGAGTGTACCTGCCTTGTGGCTGCATGCTACCACACATAAAAAATGTAGTAAACAGATCAGGAGTTCAAATTCTGACGGACACTATACTGTCGAAGCTACTTCTGAACCAAAAAACAAAGAAAAAGAAATAATGTCCAACACTCCAAACTACCAACTTGCAAAGCCCCAGGATAGGGACGTTGACATCATTTTGTTTGCCAAGTTGTCTCTACCTATTACTTAGCATGAGTGCGCTCGGGCCTGGCCTTCTCAGCGTCCTTACATACCTCTTGTGCCATGAAGTCTTCCCAGTAGCACCTCCTCCTGCTTTCGCAAAGAATTGCACAGATTTGCTAATGCACAAGCAGCAGTAATCCGCACCTGTTTTCTTAGAAAAACCAACGCAACAGACGGAAAATCTGTTACCAGCCAAAACTCCTGCTTTCTCAATGAATTGTGCAGATTTGCGAATGCACAGGCATTTGAGACTTATGACTGTGAGGAACCCGCTTTGGACAAAACTCAGACCACAGCCACCATGAATTCTCAAATGCCTACTGTCTTCACCCCCGGTCATTATACCTGTATCTGGACTGGAAAGTGCACCAAATACGGCTACAATGACCAGGCATGCTATTCGGGTGAAGACGGTAGCATGCACATGGCAACGTGGAGATTGGCAGAATTGACAAAACAACGAGCACACGAGCACAATAACTTACACAGAAGTCTTGATGATGCTGCCCCCCGCCCCCCCTTTCTTGCCTACAACAATCAATTACTGCAACAAGAGTACTTCCCCACCTCCCGTAGTCTCCGTGCTATCATCTGCTCTTTCCTCGAACACATGGCGCCAGCTTCCTTCCCTACCGGTAAGCATGGTTGCCGCCGGTCTGTTATTGTATCCTTTGCTGCTGCCCGTCAACGCAACCAACAATCAGCCTGGTGGCATCCTTCTGCAATGAGCTTGCAGATTCTCCGCGGGTTGTAACAGTAGCAGGGTTAGTTCTTCTGTTTTCCGGGTCCTAACCAGGAACCGTAACAGGCCTAATACGACGGGGACATTTCTGCAAATTACTAAAATTCCTCGACCGACAGGTAACAGTAGCAGGGTTAGTTCTTCTGTTTTCCGGGTCCTAACCAGTAACCGAAACAGGCCTAGTTCGACAGGGACATTTCTGCAAATTACTAGAATTCCTAGGCCCTAGGTCACTCCTACCACTGTCTGGTAGGTACCGGTACTGGAAAGTGCAGGCCTGTTTCGTTAGCTAAGTCCTAGGTCCTAGAGGCCCGAGAGTCCGGTAGGCGGTAGAGAGTTTAGAAATAGAACGAGTCGGATAGGGGACGGGATCTTTCGACCCCCATTCGGTCTGCGGTGGACAAGCACTGTTTGGAGGTTTTCATCGACGTCGTATGTTTACAGTGCAGCGCCATAGCTGGAGGCCGCCGCAGCGAGTAGAAGACTGCGCTGAAGCTCGGGCTGCAAGCGCTGACATGGGGACACCATAGCTGTGCCGTTGGGGTTGGGCACTGCCATTTTACTTCGTGGCAGCTAGCTTTGTCTTCTTCGAGCTGAGAGGTGCCTCCTTCGTTCAGGGTGCTGGTGCTGTACCTTCTGGTTGGGCGGTGATTGGACGCCAGGTCTTCTGCGTTGTTCCTGATTGGTGCTTGAATGGGGAAGGGGTGCTGGTGGTTCGCAGCCTTCGGGCGATGAGCGCCATAGCCAGGGGACTGTAGAGGTGATGGTGGAGGAAGGAGAACACTTCTGTTAGTTTGATGAAGTTTCGTTTGAGATTGTTCGGGATTGTTGGAACACAGTTGGGATGCTTGGGATTTCGTGTATCTGTTTGAATTGGAGGAGGGAAGGGGGAATAAGATTGAAGTTGATTTTCAATTCTATTTTTGTATATTGAGCTCCCGTTCTCCCCAGTTGGTGTGGATTTGCCTTCTCCATGTCGGCTTTGTCACTGCATATGTATATGGGAACGTATGGACGATTTGTTGGATGCAATTTCAATCGGTCACATAACACACTTCTCTCTCAGCCCAGCTATGGCTGGCGCTGGTCTGTGGGCTGAATGCACTCCTTCGTCCTCTGAACGCAGCTCACCACTAGCGCCCAGCAGTCCGTTCGGCAAACTTCCTCCAATCAAGACAACCTTGACTTCAGCCAGCCTTCCTTAAATGCTTTGGTCAGTCTACTGTTCAGGCAGGGGACACTTCAGCTTTTGGCCTTGCCCTACCGGGTCCCAGATAGCCTGGCCGGGCCCAACTCCTGGCCTGACCGAGTTGTACCCCTTTGGGCCTGTGCCGAGGGCCCACCAGTCCTCTGCTGTCTGCTGGGAGGACCTTGGGTCCTTGCACAGAATTAATAAGAACGTAAAAAAGTAATTCGTGAGGATTGAGCCCTCAAGTAGGGGCCTTGCCATGTTGTACATGTTCTGGGCTAAGGCCCCAGCAAGCCTAGTGCCCGCCCTAAGTGAAGGCGGGCTAGCAAATCAACAAGAGCCCTCTGTGCCAACATTTCACGAAGTGGGGTCTATACAGTTGCAGCACGCCAGTTGGTTGGAGTGCACCAAGTCTGGGATTTCAGCAAATGCTGAAATGCCCAGGGCCTCTGAGTTAGTTAGGCCCTGGGCACTCGAACGTGAGGCCGACAATGCATGCTGGGTAGAGAGGCCGAAATGCCAAAGGGAAAATCGGCCCACTATCTGAATCTGGCCGCAGGCCTTGAGAAGAGAGGCACAACTGCATTGCTCCGGGGCCCAACTGTATCAGGAAGGCTTCAGCCTCTGGGTCCCGGTCGCAGGCTGAAGGG